TTCATTGCCCTCGTCATTCTCAAAACATTTGCTCTCCACTTAAGAAGCCCCCCAGCATCGGGTCCTCATTTTTTCCCCTCTCTCCCCCTCCCCCGCACCTCATACTCTTATTGATTGATTGATTCTCTTACTCATATACTCACACTTTTATTTATACATTGCCTTCTAAGGAATGTAATGCTAAGGGCTGCCTGGGTTTCAGGGAGGTCCAGGCAGGAAGCTTCCTCTGCACTCATCTCTGATAGGTGACAAATCCCTGCAGAGGTGCCAAGGGTCCAGGGGACACCTTGCAGGTCTGGGGCACCATTGGAGAGTGTCAAACAGCAAGGGGCAGGATCGGTTTGATGGGTAAAAAGATACAAGATCACTGGGGCAGGGAGAGGCCAGGCTGTGTGGGTGGGATGCAGACAGGAGGGAGAGATGGCAACACCCCCAGGCCCACATCCCCACACTCCCAAACAGTAACAGAAGATGAGCAGAGAGGGGAGAGGTGGGGAGGGATGGAGTGAGGACAAGCAGAGAGGACCGTTGCTCAGTCTGCCAGGGACGGTACTAGATGTGGATAGGAGTGAACCACCTCCCCAACACACCCCTGCGTGACACAAAGGGGTGCCTTCCAGAGGGGTGGGGGTCAGCTAACCTCAGGGCTTGACTGGTCAGAGAACCACACTCAGGGCCGGCCCCCACGTCAGAGGCACGCTGCTCCTTCTAGTTTGGGAGGCTGTGATCTTTACAGAAGCCTGTCAGCAGGGCTTACTTCTGCGGCACCCTTGGGTGGGTTCCATCTGCCAACCTCTAGGTTAGCTATCACGGAAAAACCCCAGCACCCTCTCCCCCTTCCTGGGACAGTCTGTTTGTCAGTTGCTTTTTGGTTGATACCGGCTCGTGGCAACCCCACATGTGCAGGCATTCAAGGCTGTGATCCTTGGGAAGTGGAGGGCCAGGCCTCTTTCGGGGCGCCTCTGGATAGGTTTGAAGTGGGCACCTCATCATCGAGCGCTTCATTGGCTGTGCCACCCAGGAATTCCCTTGACTACATAAACTCCCTGCCTTAGAGTCCATGTCCACTCCCACCAACACCCTCTAGTCTCTGAGGCAGCAAATCTTGACGGGAGCAGACAGCCTCATCTTTCTCCTGCAGGGCTGCTGGTGGGTTTGAACCACTGACCTTATAGGTAGCCATCTAAGGCTTACGTGACAGCAATACATGGCTCCTTCTCCCTTTGCTGAAGAGGGGGGCCCACTGCAGGACCTGCCTCTGTCTCTCTCAGCCCAGGCCTTTCCCTCGTTCAGGGCAAATCCGTGAGGAATGTTCTCTTGAGGGGCCACCGAACAGTCTGACAGGCAGAGGGTCTCCTAAGTTTCCGGCCTGGGGCAGGGGCGGGGACAGGGCTGGGGATCAGACACCAGCCTCAAGCAAGGGCCCCTCTCCTCTTTGAGTCTCTGTTTCTTCATATTGGAAAGCACAGAAGAAAGTCTGGACTAGAAGCATTGACACCCTTCCAGGGTCCAGCCCCTTCCCTCCGCATCTGAGACCCCGTCTTTTCTGGCTGATGTTGGAACAGAACAAGGGAATGGTTTAAAATTAGGAAAGGTGTGTGTCTGGGTTGCATCTTCTCACCATACTTATTCAGAGAAGCTGGATTATGTGAAAAAGAATGCATCGTCAGGATTAGAGGATCATTAACAACTTGCGATGTGCAGATGATACGGCCTTGGTTGCTGAACGTGTGGGGAACTTGAGGCACTGGCTGATCAAGGTCAAGGATCGCAGCCTTCAGGAGGGCTTACGACTCAATGTAAAGACCACCAAAATCTCCCCCATGAAATCATGACCCCAATTCTACCTTACACATCCGGCCAGACCAGAGCATGTACACTGGTACAGATAAGAGCCTGAAACATAGGGAATCCAGGATAGCTAAACCCCTCAGGACCAATAATGAGAGGTAACTATACCAGGAGGGGAAGGTGAAGGTATGGGGAACCGATCACAATGAGCGATATATTACCCCCTCCCAGTGGGTCGAACAACAGAAAAGTGGGTGAAGGGAAACCTCAGTCAGTGTAAGACATGGGGAAAAAAATTATCAAAGGTTTATGAAGGAGGGAGGGTGGGGGAAGGGGGTAAATGAGCTGATACCAAGGGCTCAAGTAGAAAGAAAATGTTTTGAAAATAACAATGGCAACCTATATACAAATGGGCTTGACACAATGGATGGATGGATTGTGATAAGAGCTGTAAGAACCCCCAATAAAATCATTTAAAGAAAAAAAAATCCACGATATGCAGATGACACAACCCTTGCTTGCTGAAGGTGAGGAGGACTTGAGGCGCTGGCTGATCAAGGTCAAGGATTTCAGCCTTCAGGAGGGCTTACAACTCAATGTAAAGACCAAAATCAAGACATTTTGGAAGCAGCAGTCACGAGATCAAATGATGCATTGCTTTGGGTCAATCCGCTGCACATGACCTCTTTTAAGTATTGAAGGGCAAGAATGGTACTATGAGGACTAAGGTGGACCTGCCCCAAGCCATGGTCCTTCCAATTGCCCTCACCTGCATGTGAAAGTCGGACATCGGCTAAGGAAAGTGGAAGAACAGCCCATGCATTAGAATGCTGGCGATGGCAAAGAATGTTCCAAGTACCATGGACTGCCAGCAGAAGAACCAAATCTGTCCGGGAAGAAGTCCAGCCAGAAGGGGCCTTAGAAACGCGGAGGGCGAGAATTTGGCTCACATACTGAGACCAGTCCCTGGAGAAAAACCATCATGCCTGCTAAAGTAGAGGGACAGCAATAAAGAGGAAGCCCCTCAGCCAGCTGCATGGACACAGTGGCTTCAACATAAGAACAACTGTGAGGATGGCCCAGGATCGGGTTGTGTTTCCCAGCGGGAGCCACGATGAGTCGGAACCGGCTCGATGGCCCCTAACATTCCTGGCTGTCAACGTTGTGCGAGGGGCACCGCAGAAGATGCATCTGACTGTGAACCGCAAGGTCATGGGTTCAACCCCAGGAGCCCCTCCTCAGGAGCGAAATGAGACCATCTACTTCCTTAAAGATGAACCCTCTCAGATACCTGATGACACAGTTCTAGTCTGTCCTAAGGGTCACAGACCACTCAACGGCAGTAGGTTTCTTCTGGCCGTCCATCCTCCACCCCCACTCCTCTCGCCCCTGGGCAGCTGCTGGCCGTGCCCCCTCTGGCCTTACCCCCAGGCCAGTGCAGCCCAGCCCAGCCCGGCCTCTGCCCAAGAGCCTCACCTTCAGCCAGCCTGCGTAGAAGAAGAACTGCAGGAATGTGAACACAGGCACATAGAGGTCCAGCTCGTGGCCAGGGTAGGCCTTGGTTGGGTCTAGAAACTGACGCCCGATCAGGCAGGCCACAAAGAAGCTGTAGACGGCCACCGTCACCACCTGGCAGGAAGAAGAGGAGGCAGGGGCAGCGAGCGTGGTGGGAAGCTGACGTCAGAATCCCCCCCTGGCCGGGATTAACAGCCTTGGGCTCCCTCTCACACTCAGGGCACCTTGGCTCTCTGTCATCTCCTCCATCAAATGGGAGTTGATCAGGCCATCTCAGTGGGGCTGGATGCAACCAGACCCCAGAAGCCGGAGAAGCCACAGAGAGACCCCTGCCAGCACTGAGATGCTTACAACGCCACTGGACCCAAAGACTTTCTACCCACTGGCTTGTGATCATCCTGCATTTGGCTCCATTGCATGTGTTTCGTGAGTCTGAAGAGGACTTTAGAGATTAGGATCGGACATATGGGCTAATATTAGACTTACGGGCTTGGACTGGACTGGGTTGGGATGTTTTCTTGATGTTCAATTCCTCCTGTGTATAAACCTTTCCCTTATATACATATGCATGTTTATGAATCTGTTTCTCTAGTCTACCCGGACTAACACATTATGGTACCATGGGAGTGGGGTACTGGAGAAACAAATCATAAGGATGGAAAGTAGATGTTTGACCTCTGCCCTTGATAGTGTTCCTCTTTGGCTACCCAGAAGTCAGGTATGTCCTTGCAGTTTACTGAGTTGTTTTCTGGAAACAATATGGGAAGTTAAAGTCTTGATTACTTTGTTTTGATGCTGTCTTTGCTTATTCCTGTATGAAATAGCAAAAATGAATGTTGGACTTATGGCCTGGCTCTGGACTGGGTTGGGATGTTTTCTCAATGTTCAATTCCTCTTGAATATAAAACTCTTTCTTATACATATATGTGCATTCGTGGATTTGTTTCCCTAGTCTACCCAGACTAACACAATATGGTACCAAAGGGACATCTCTGTGGACACATCCTCACCTGCGTGTAGACCAACGGCACACTGATCCAGTCATAGGCATAGAGTTGTGCACACTGTGAGCGTAAGAAGTTCATCTCCTATCGAGACAGAAGGGAGGGCTCATCTCAGACCACCACCTGCCCTCCCAGGCTCCGCGCGCTAGCTCATCCCAGGTGCCAGGGCCTGGTGCTCACCGTCCTGCCGGCCTGTGCGGCCCTGGGCAGCTTCCTTAACCTTTCTGTACCCCCAAAAGGAACCAGTATCTCAGGGGCCCACGCAGAGCGGGAACGGGAGGAAACTTTGCGTGCAAGGGTGGGAAACGCAGTTGAAAAAGACCCTAGAACCCCTGGCAGGCTCCGGGAAGCTCCTCAGATCCTCGGGCCACCCTTCCCAACCCGCCAACAACCGTCCCCTGTAGGTTGGGGTGGGGTAGGGAGAGGCTCACATTCAGCAGGCTCTGGAGCAGCACCGTGTCCCGGATGCGACCATCTCTCCAGGCCTTGACGGACAGGTTAGCGAACCACACCCAGGGCACCCAGAACTTGTTGTGCGCTCCTTCCAGGCTTTCTAAGAGCTGGTGTTCCGCGGGTGTCATAAAGCCTGCGGGGTGTGGCCGCGAGGGTAATGGGGAGTCCACTGGGACCTCCAGTCCCTCGGTCATCTTCTTTCCAGCACCCAGTCTGCCGGCTGGGGCAGACCGAGCACTGGGAGAGGTCTGCCTAATTTGGGGGGGGCAGCTCAGGCTGAGGAGCTCCGGTGTAGTGGTTACGCTTTGGGCTACTAACCACAAGGTGAGGTGTTTGACACCATCAGCTACTCCATAGGAGAAAGGCGAGGCTGTCTACTTCTGTAAAGGGCTACAGTCACACAAACTCACAGGGGCAGTTCTACGCAGCCCATCGGGTCGCTAGGAGTCAGAATCAACCGGCTGGCAGGGTTGTTTATGTTGTATTTTTTGAGGTCAGGCAGAGCCCAGGGCGAAGAAACCAGAGGTGGCAGATGGCCAGGCTGGAAACGGGAGAGAGCGGGGGAAGGGCCACCGCGGCAGTGCCCGCCACTCCCCGTAGCCTTTGTCCTGGCCTCAAACGCCAGCCCTCCGAGGGTGGGTGCCTGTCCCGCCCACTTCCGGACACCTGACTCAGCCTCGCCCAATCCGGATGCCAGGGTTCGGCCCCGCCCTGGCTCCACCCACCGTCGAGCGGGCCCCGCCCCTCCCCTCCCGACGCCCCGCCCACCTGCTTGCACCAGGTGCCGCGTGCTGGGGAAGCGCTTGTAGACGGCGGCGCTGACGCTGCGCAGGATGAGCACGCTGGCCAGGTTGGCGTAGCGGATGAGCGTGCGCCGCAGCAGCCGCCCGTGCTCGTCCTTACCCTCGACCACGCTGGACACCAGGTTCATGAGACGGTCGGGCCACGGCAGGCTCTCGTACTGGTTCCACCAGCGAGTCACCACCAGCGTCACGTAGAAGCCTGGGCAGGAGGGACCCGGGGCGAGGCTGCGGCCAGAACCCAGCGTCCCCGGAGGCGCCTCGCTTTCCCCAGCTTCAAGCCCCAACCCTGGAAGGCCTCGCCTGGAGACGCCATCATCTCCAAGCTTCTCTTGCCCAGGCCGTCCTGCCTCCCCTCCTGCTCAGAGACCCTGAGAACCCCCTCCTGGGACCACTCGCAGAAAAGAGGTCTGCAGTGCCATTGGCGGGTCGTCCTTCTTGGTGTCTAACTTCAGTCCCTCTAGCTGCAGTCTCCATGGGTTCCTGAATTGGCCTTCACCCCCTAGTTCCTGGTGCCCCACCGAGGACCACGCCAGAGACCTTGAGACCAGAAAGGAGCAAAGGAGCAGAGGCTTAAGGAGGAGGGGGGGCGGGGTATTGCACGCAGACTGAAGACAAGGGGGAGCCAGCGATGCCACCACAAAAAGAAGAGGGACAATAGGGGAGATATCAGTGGCTCTTCCTCTTGAAGTTGAGGGCCCCTGGGAAGGAGAGCTCACCCAGCACAAAGGATATGGGGATGAGTTGGATGGAGCCCTCGCAGTACAGAACCATCTTCTCAAACAGCAGCTGCTGCTCATTTGTGAGGGCCAGCCTGGGAGGCAGGTAGAGACAGATGCATGTTCACTGTGAGGGGCTGCCCGGGGCTGTGCCCTGGCCAGCTAGCTAAGGTTCCCAGGTGGGCTGCCTCTGCTGCCTGGAATCCTCCCCACTCTCCCACTACCACCACCTGAGCTGGGCCCGCTCTCTGGCAACCAGGACCCCAGAGGGACTCCCCGCTGGTCTGCACTGGGAGAGGCCCCCTGTATTGGCTTCCGGTGAGGAGAGTCCTAGAGCTGACCACTAGGAGAGATGTAGAAAAGAAAGTCCTGGGGAAAGAATCTGGTGTAAACGCCCCTGACCTTGCTGACTCATGGCAACTCCAGGGGGTTCCAGAGGAAAACTGCCCCATAGGGCTCTCTCGGCAGTAATCTTGTGTTTGCGGGTGTGGTTTTTAGCTTTTTACTTTTATTAGCAGTGATTTTTAGGGAGGAGGCAGATCATCAAGCCTTTCTGGGTGGGTTTGAACCTGCAACCTTTATGCTAGTAGATGAGTGCAGCCCATCAGGCAGTGTTGACTCAACATGGTGGAGGGGAGGGGGGTATTGTTGTTTGACCATTTTGAATGCTCAGAGGGACAAAGGAGCTTGGTGGAGGAATGGATTATGCATTGGGCTGCTAACCTCAAGGTGAGCAGTTTGAAACCACCAGCCACCCCGAGAAAAAAAACGAAGAGGCCTTCTATTCAGTCTCAAAAGCAGGGTCCCTGTGAGTCAGGGTCGACTCCATGGCAACGAGTTTGGGTTGTTTTTATGGGTGGGGGGTGGGGAGGGGGAGAGACAATGGTTTAAAGGCAGATGAAAGCCTGGAGTTTGATCTTTAATAAACATAAGATGTGGGCCTGGGCGCCTCCCTGAGGCCACGTGGGGGATTCCCGGGGAACAGCTAAGGCCTGGGCCTGAGGCCCTCCCAGCCTGGGTTGAGAGGCCCTCTTCAGTATGATTCCTTGTCCACGGTCCCCTCCAGGCTGGCCAGCTAGGGGCTCAGCTTAGGCCACTGGTGCCTGGGTCCTCAGGCTGAGTGGGAGGCTCCTCCGGGGAGCTCAGTGCCCCCCACCCCAGCCCCAGCCCCCACCCGCACCTGTAGATGAGGCGAATAGAGTAGTAGCAGAGCAGGAAGATGAGGAATTCGCCATAGAGCAGCTTGTAGATGCTGCCCCGCCAGCATAGCAGCAGTCGGGAGAAGGAGCCCAGGTGGGCATTCGCCACTTTGCTTGTGTACGTGACAGTCATGGCCAGGCTCTGGGATGCCAGCAGGTGGGCCTGGGTCCTGGGGTCAGACATACAAGGATGCTGATGAGGGGCTGGGAGGAGGAGCCTTGATCAGAGGCAATCTGAGGCTCAGTGACCATAGCCAGGCCCTCTCCTGCTCTGGGGCTTGTCTCCCCTGTCTGGACCTGGGGAGTGGGCTGCAGTGGTCATGAAGACCATCCTGCTTTGACCACCTGTGGGAAGTGGCCACCCAGGGACCGGCTACCAACAGCCTTGGCCAGGAGTATTTAGCTACCAGTTGTTGATGAGTTGACATCACTCATGGGTGTCAGAGAGTAGCAATGCGTTCCACAATTTTTGTCCAATTAGGTGGCCAGATCTCTCTCCCTGTGCACCACAGGGTGGACTCAACCTCCATCCCTAGGGCTAGCGGTCAAGGCATTAATGGGGTGGAACAATACCAAGGAGAAGGAGGCATCAGGATTGAAGGAAGGCTTATTAACAACCTACACAGGCAAATGACTTGACCTTGCTTGCTGAAAGTGAAGAGGACTTGATGCCTTTGCTGATGAAGATCCAGGATGGCAGCCTTCAGCATGGTTTACAGCTCAATAAAGAATCCCCAAACCCTCACAACCGGACCAAGAGGCAACATCATGATAAAGGAGCGAAGGTTGAAGTTGACAAGGCTTATGTCTTGCTTGGCTTCACCATCAGTGCTCGCGGAAGCAGCAGTCAAGAGATGCAACGACGTGAAGCCTTAGGTAAATCTGCTGCGTAAGATCTCTTTCAAGTGTTGAAAAGCAAGGATGTTCCTTTGAGGACGGAGGCATGCCTGATCCTAGCCATGATATTTCTATTGCCTCATATGCATGTCAAAGCCGGACACTGATAAACACCAAGAAGAATTGATGCATTTGAGTGACGGCATTGGCGAAGAATATTAAACATACCACGGACTGCCAAGAACAAACATCGGCCCTGGAAGAGTATGCCAGAATGCTCCTTGGAGGCTAGGCTGGCAAGACTTCCTCCTGTGCACTTTGGACAAGTGATCAGGGGAGACCAGTCCCTAGAGAAGGAGACAGCCTGCTTGGTAAAGTGCTCGGGCAGCGGCAAAGAGGAGTATCCTCGACAAGATGGATTGCTGTGGCTACAACACTGGGCTCACACAACGACGGTTGTGAGACTGGCACAGGATCGGCTGTGTTACCTTCTGTTGTACAGAGTCACTCATTAGAATCAACTCCATGGCACCTACCCACTACCACCCCAACCCCCATAGGTGGGCCTGCTCCTGGTGAATGTCCTTCAATTTGCTCAAGAAAGGAAGTGCTGGAGAAGAAGTCAAAGTGGCATCCAGGTAGACTCACCCGCCCGGTGCTCCTGTTGTTAGAACAGGAAATTAACAGATAGGCATCGGAAGTAAGCCCGAGGACAAAGCAGTGGAATTGGGACCGTTGGTTCCAGAGGGACCTGTGGGGAGGAGGAGGTGGGGGAAGGGGGTGGTGAGCAAACAGCGCCATAGACAGGGGCACAACTAGGGAATTAAAATCAACAACAAGGAGGACGTAGAGATCCTGGGGGTGTTGGAGCAACAGCAATCTAGCTGAGAGGAAGTACTAAGAGGCAGAAGAAGGGCGAGCGTGATGGTGGGGCAGGAGGAAGGTAAAAGGAAATAGGAAAGATCTAGGAAGCAAAGCTATGGGTAGAAGTATAAGCATAGGTGTGTATCTATGTAAATCCATTAATTCATTAGATAGAGGTATTGGCTCATGTTTATACATATATTTATATGGCAGTACATTGAGGTAGTGGACGGACTTTGGGCCTCTGCTCAAGCCCTCCCTCAACACAAGAACACCTTGCTCTAGCAACCTAGCATTCTGTGATGCTCACCTTCCCAACACGCTCACTGAAGAGAAAATGGGTACACAGCAAATGTGGTGAAGAAAGCGGATGGTGCCTGGCTATCAAAAGATAGAGTGTCTGGGGTCTTAAAGGCTCAAAGTTAAACAAGCGGCCATCTAGCAGAGAAGCAACAAGAGGACAGGGAAGAAGTACACCAGCCTGTTAGATCATAAGGTGTCGATGGGATCAGGTATCAGGCATCAGAAGACCCAAAACCAACAAAATTTTTAAAACCATATTGCTGAGAACAAGGGGGGTCGGAGCAAAGACCCAAAACCCATCTGTAGACATTGGGTTATCCCCTCACAGAAGGGTCACAAGGAAGGGATGAGTCAACCAGGGCTCAGTATAGCACCAATGAGGCTTCCTCAACCCCCACTATCATCGCCCCAGTCCTGCCTTTCAGTGCGGGCTGGAACATGTACACAGGTACAGATAAGAGCTCATAACACACGACACACGGAATCCAGGTCAGATTAACCCCTCAGAAACAGAAATGGGACGATACCAGGAGGGGAGAGGGAAGGTGGGGAGAGGAGGACAGGAAGGGGGGACTGATGACAATGATGGACACATAACCACACATACACACCCAGGGGACAAACAACAGAAACTGGGGGAAGGGTGACAGCAGTCGGTGTCAAGACATAAAAACAATAACAGTTCATAATTTATCAAGGGCTACGAGGAGGGAGGGGAAAATGCTGATACTAAGGACTCAAATAGAAAGTAAATGTTTATAAAATAATGAAGGCAACATATATACAAATACGCTTGATACAATGGATGCATGGATTATTATCAGAATGGTAAGAGTCCCAATAAAATGATCTTAATAAAAAAGGAAGTGTGGACAACAGTGCCCACCATGACCCAGGGGTCCTCTGAACTGGGTGGTATTTTGAACCCATCTCCCTCTTCATTAGCTTCCCAAGCTCCCTCAACTCCCCTGAAGCAATTCGTAAGGAGATGAGTCAGCCAGCCTTGCCCGCTACCGCATCCTCAGTTCCCAGAACAGAACCTGGCCATTGGAGCCAGTCAAATAAGGTTTCCTGGATGGTGGCCTCAGACCTGAGGCTCCTGCCTCAGGCACAGTCTCCCCACAATTGTGTGGCGCACTTGAGGATGTCCCCCCACCCCTGCCCCTGCCACCGGCACATGCTGACCCCTTCACCTTGCCTGGTTTTGTACAACGCACAACTTGAGATTAGATGATCGCGGATTTATTCTTGCTTACTGTCTGTCCTCTCAGAATGGAAAAGTCGACTGGATTTTCACAGGAGGTACAATGCCCTGATGCACTCCAGAGAGACCTCTGTGCGGGATCCTGTTGACAACAGCACCTGGAACATAGATATAGAGACTGGGAAACGTGGGGGGCAGCGAGTTCATGGGAAGGGGGGAGGCACAATTCGGAAAAAGAAGGCGAGACCGGAGACTAGGGTCAACACTGGTAAACATGATCAATGTACAGGTAGAGACCGTTGACGTGATAAATGGGGTCGTATCCTCAACAACCACAGCAAAATCGAAGACAGATTATTTTACAAAGGCAGAGAGAGGGGCAAGGAGTCCTGCTGTCCGAATGGTTAAGCTCTTGGCTTCTAACCAGCAAGTTGGTGGTTCACACTCACCCAGCAGTCCCTCGGGAGAAAGATCTGCTGACCTGCTTCTGTGTGGATTACAGCTGGGGGTGGGGTGGGGGCAGGGAGTTCTGCTCAGCCACAGGGTCCTTGTGAGTAAGAATCAACTCAATGGCAGACGCCATCAAAATGTATAAATCAAACCCACCGCTGTCAAGTCAATTCTAACACATAGCAACCCTGTAGGGCCCGCCGGAACTGCCCCCATGGGCTTCCAAGACTGTAGCTCTTTGTGGGAGTAGAAAGCTTCATCGTTCCCTCCAAGGAGCAAATGGCAGTTTCAAACTGCTTACCTCCCAGTTAGCAGCTCAACGAGTAACCACTACACTACCAGGGCTCCTGGATCAAGGGGTAGAAATGTGTCTAAAACCCAGGGCCATCTAATTTATGCTGCCGCATCTAATTGGAAGCACCAACAGCCACTTCTAGCTGCCTCCCAGAACTTTACTGAAATGATTGGTACCCCCCACCCCGACCCCGGCCTGTTCCCATACCGCCTCAATGACTGTTGCTCTCAACCTGGTGCACACCAGGCTCCTTCCCACCCCAGGGCCTTTGCACAGACATGCAGGTGGGAGCACCCGCAAAGGTGCTACCTGGGTGTCTCCATCCCACATGTGGAAAGACGACCAAAACCCCAGCCCACCTGGGCAACCCCTACTCACAGATGGGGCTCTGGCTGTTCTGGGATCCCATCAAAGGTCCTGCCACCGGATTGGGGGCACCTTCTGGGGTCCTGAGGTCGGTGCCTGTGGTAGGGTCCCTTGGGGCCCAGTCCTGTCCGAGTGTGGGTGTGCTCAGCGGTCACTTGACTGCCTAAGCTAGGGCTTCCACAAAGGGGCCCTTGTCCCAGCCCCTCCTCATAATCTGCCCATGGGCAGCCGCCACCATAGCCCTCTAATTCCTTCCGGAGGGTGAGGGTGGGGGGAGGGAGGGAGGGAGTCCACCGAGACCAGGGCTTGGGTTCTGGACACCACCACCACCCCCCTACATGTTGTTGTAAGGTGCATGGAATTGATTTTCCACTCAGAGCGACCCCATGTGACTAGAAATATCACATAGGGTTTCATACCGGCCACTCCACGAGAGAAAGACAGGGCTGTCTATTCCCGTCAAGAATTAGTCTCGGAAACCCACAGGGCTAGCCCGACTCTGTCCTGCAGGGTCGTCCTGTAGGGTGGCTATGAATTAGAATCCACTTGATGGCAGGGAGTTTGGTTTTTGGTTTGGATCTTGACGGGAACAGCACCAGGTCTCTCTCCAACGGGTCAGTGAGAACACTCAGCCTCTGTGGGACCAGGTCTCCTTTTCCCTCCCCCCCAGATGCTACCATTTCATCTGGCCCCCCAAACCTATAATTTGGGGGCATTGCTTTCCCTGTCTTTGGGGCGTTCGGTGGGGGACTGGACCAGGGGCCCTGAACCAGGAGCCAGGCATGGAGGAGACGACCGCTGTGCAGAGAGCTTT